GGATCGGTTGCCACGTTCCGGCATGCTAACTGTTTGGGTTTGGGTTCCATGAGAGGACCAATGATTTGATATAAAATGTGAAGTTGTAAGTTGTTCGTAAATGTTGATAATATTGTATATGTTGATATATATGCATGTGATTATATTGTTGTCTTGACTTGTTTATGTTGCACTAGTGGGATAGCCGCGTGATCCTACCAGTACACTGTGGTTGTGTACTGATACTGCACTTGCTCTTTTTTTTTTTAAGTATAGGGCATCATCAAGCGGCTACCGACAGACCTCGCTTAGGAGATCAGTAATCGTCACTTCGAATTCAAGGGTGAGCCAATTCTTCCGGGCTGCCATGGGATTCTCTTTCGTCTATGTCCACCATTTCCGGACTTAGACATTTGTTTTAGTTAGTTCATTAGTATGGGGTTGTATCCCTTCTTGTTAAGACTTGGATCATTGTTAGATGTTTTGGTATATTGACTTTCAAGTTCTAGGTTATTCTTCCGCATTGTTTAGTTATTGTTAGACTTTTGTTGGAGTTTATGGGAACTCCATATTTATTTTCTTAAGTGTTTGACTTAAATGCCTTAGTTTTTGGTTTAGTTGCTTGTTTTGGATTGTAGTAGTGGTTCTCTCATCGGAGTGTTAGTGTGGGTGTCAATCACGACGGTCTGAATCGTGATAGCATGTAATTGACCTTCAAAATCTTTTTCACCATATTTGTGGAGGGTATTTATGTAGACAAATATTATTTTTTTCTTAATACTATAAATATGGTGTGTATGTCCTTAATAAATGAAGAACTCTAAGATGTTGATAAAGAAGAAGAAGAGTAATTGAGAAATTTTAATACACTAAATCAGATTTAACCAACTGTAGTTGGTTGTTACAATTAACTATTTACTTTCTAACAGACCATGTAAAAATACTCTTGTACACTATTTTTTTTTAGTGTCCGGAGCCAGAAGGGTAACTTTTTTCTTTCAAAAAACCAAAATAGCATATCAAAATTATTTTTAACCAAAATGGTAAAATCGCTCCTTGAGCAATTTCCTTCTCACAAAATTGACTCTGTTTTTTTCCAAAATAAAATTCAATTAAAATCGCTGCTGGGCAGCGATTTTGTCAAAAAAAAAAATCGCTGCTCCCGCAGCATTTTTATCAAAAAAAATAAAATCAAATGTTGAAATTGCTGCTACAGCAACAATTTTATCAATTCTTTCTTTCAAAAAAAATTAGTGTGGTTAATTACATTGGTTAAAAATAAATAAAAAATTGTGAGGTTAAATATTAAAAATGACAAAGTAAAACTCAAACACCCAATTAATTCTTAGCAAAATACAAAATCACACTGCCGCATGAAACAATTAATATTAGTATATAATTAACCACCGATCGTAATTAGAAAGTAGACCAATTTTTACTTGAACATTATTGAGCATTATCAAAAAGGATTTTTCATATTAGAACGCAGACCAATGTAATTAACCACAAGAACTTATTAATTTTTTTAGGAAATCGCTGCAGGAGCAGCGATTTCAGTTTTTTTAAAAAAATATAAACAATTCGATAAAAACGCTGCTGGATCAGCAATTTCAAATTTTTTAACAGAATAGCGTCGTCAATTTTGTCATAAGGAAATCGCTCCGTCAGGAGCGATTTTGCCCTTTTGGTTAAAAATAAATTTGATATGTTGTTTGATTTTTTGTAAGAAAAAAATTGCCCTTTTGACTTCAGACTCTATTTTTTATATGGTACTATATTAGATTAACTTGATAATTTTTATTTTCGGAACATCCAAAGTACCAAAGTTACTAAATATGCAAATCACTAATTCATGAACTATGGTCTATGTTATTTCCTTCGTTTAAAAAAGAATGACTTGCTTTCTTTTTTAGTCTATTTAGAAGAGAATGACCTTTTTTTTTTTGTAACACTTTAATTTCATCTTTTCACGTGGCATGTTTAAGGCCACAATATTAAAGGACATTTTAATACATTTGACATAAATTTAATTTAGGACCACAAAATTGAAAAGTCTTCTTTATTTTCTTAAACTCCTTGCCAAGTCAAATTACTAGACCATTTTTTTTAAAACGGAGGGAGTATATACTTTGTCTGTTGGTTCATGAGCAGATATACAACAAATTTCTAATCTAGTTATTTTTGTTGTTGAAGATCTGTTCTGCACCAAATTGTCTCATGATGTTTTGGAATGCATGGTTTAATATTGTAGACAAGAAAATGGGATCATAGAATTTCCATAAAATTTTAGTGTGCAAATGAAAAAAAGAGACATGAAGGCGGTGTGTTTGGTATATAAGAAAATACTTTTAGAAAAATAAGTGAGCATTTTATTTATTTTCTTGTGTTCAGCATGCAAGTAGAAAATATTATCTTAAAAGCATTTTTATAAAATCTAGATAAATACTATTAGAGGTGAAGATAAAGGATAATTTTCATTGAGATTTTTGATAAAAAAAAAAATATCAAATTTGAGGTGATCTGGAGACCTGAGAGCATGCATAGTTCTGGTTTACTGAAAATGGGGCTTGAGTTGTGAATTCGAGGTTAGTGAAACTTTACGTTTTGGTGCGTACTTGTTTTTCAAACCTTTCTTTGAAAATGTGTTTTATTTGTCTGGTTCATGTGTTGGGACAATCGTGAGTTTGATAGAATTGGTGGCATTTGACCAGTTGTAGATATGTTACTTTGTGAAGAATATTGAAAATGATCATACCATGGCGTGTGTGTTACGACTGGAATAATTAGGTGTAATGCGGAAGCTAGCAAAGTAAACCTCGAAAGATCATGAGTAAGAAGACAAACGAGAAATACATCAAAAGACACAAAGATTTAATGTGGTTCAATCAATCGACCTACGCCTACAAATGAGATGAGCAATCCACTATAGTACAAAATATAGAGAGCAACAATCTCAACCAATTCACTCCGAATACAAGGAGGTTCAAAAATTCTCCCCCATAATCAAAGCTCTCAAAACCCTTAGGATTATGTTGTGAATGTTGATTAAGTTAGAAGGAACAAACCTATATTTATAGAGTCCTAAAACATTTCCTACAAGAAACGGGCTAGTCAAAATATTAAGCCTTTTCCTAAAAGAAAAACCTATTTATGGTAAGAAAGTCAGGGCAAATAAAATTCAACAGTGTGGACGTTGGACTCTTCCCTTTGCTGCCATGATATAGTTATTAAGGGCATACTTACGTTGTTGTAATATGCTAGCTAGGAACATACCTATGCTGCCCTAATATATTAAGAGTCTTGTACTTGTTGCCGAAGTATACTTTTGAAGCATTATGTGTTGTTGTGGACTTATTAGGATGGGAGGTATTGATACAAGTATAGTTTTGAGGCATTATGTGTTGTTGTGGACTTATCAGGATGGGAGGTATTTATCTCTTCCACAATATTTTATGACAAGCCGTGAGTGTGGATTAAGTTGAGATATGTAGTGTCCTTTTTGAATATTTATTTGAGCCTTATTGAATATTATATCATAAAATATATATTTTTGTGCATATCATTGCCATATTCGTTGTGTGGTTAAATTTTCTATCCTTATTTCAATACTATTCAAAAAGTCGAATTTAGAATTTTACTAAATTATATTTACGTATAACTCACTCCTTACCTGCATGGATACAAATATTGTTGGTGATAATGAAGCTAGTAGCTGACAATTATCCAAGAGAATCGAGTCTTTTGTAGTTCTCATATATGCTCCATGGTTAGTGTGGAATTCGGGCAAAAATTTCAAATTAATATTTTGAGATTTTAATTATTTATAACTAATTATTATATTATTCGAATACATATTTATTTTATTAAATGTTGTAAATTAATGATTAAGGGATGAAAATTGAATTGCCTGGCCGGTGGAGTGTGTCGGGTGCCAATCACATTTAGGGGATAGTTTAAAATGTGATTATATACTTTATCTATTGGTTTACGAGCACGTATTTTACCACAAATTTCTTATAGTTTGAAAAATGCGTAGCAGTAAAATAAAGAAATTCCAAAATTTCTCTTTTCTATACTATTAAGAATAAAAAATAGTCAGTAAGGTCTATATATTCGTCTGTGATTCCTATTGAAACACATATGCATCAAATTATCTCTTGATATTTTTAATTAATAATTTAATATTGTAGACAAGAACATGGGATAATATAATCCCCACAAAATATAATGGGATCATAGAATCCCCCACAAAATTTAATGGAATAATAAAATCCCCACAAAATTTAAGTGTGCAATTGACAAAAAAAAATGAGACATGAAGGGAGTGTTTGGTATGACGGAAATTGTTTTTCATATAAGAAAATATTTTTTAGAAAAATAAGTGGGTTTCTTTCTTATTTTTTTTCTTCATCTTAAACAAATTTTTATATAATTTAGATAAATACTATGAAAGGTGAAGATAGAGGGATGAGGATAGAGATAAGGTGTGTTGGAAGGTGAGGATTACTATCAATGTGGAATGTTAGTAACTTGTTTTCCAAACTTCCATTAATTAAGAAAGTCAATTTCTTCAATTTTAAAGAATATATTTTCATAGAGAAATTTTTTTAAATTTTTTTTGACCAATCGAACCTGAACCCTGAGACTCCTATCTCCTAATTATTAAGGGAGAAAAAATGAATATTTTTCCAAATTTATGTTATTTTCAAAGTTTAAATATTGTCCTTTAACGTGTCCAACGTGACAATTGAAAGTGATGAAATTTAAGATTCACCAAACAAAAGTTAAGAAGGCAAAGCAACTTTTGTTGTTATAAATTGAAGGTTCCAAAGATAGTGAGATGCACAAAACTTTGATCTCTTTGAGACAATTATTCTCTTCAATTATTTTAAATTTTAGTTTCTATTAGAATGGGAACTGAAAGTGTACGTAATATTTATGCTCAATTTTCTAGTTTTTCTTTTATATACTCATTCATTCATTCATTTTAAATCATATTAATACATATATTAATTTTTTTTTGTGTGATTATGAAATAGGAGTTTGACTCAATGGTAGTCGCAACAAAAAATGGAATCAATGCACCATCGTCTCCGAGGAAAAATATGTGTCTTAATTTGATTGAACCTCATGTTAAGGATAAAGCATCTTCTGAAGAATTGAATATGATTTTGACTCAATATGTAGACACATTATCCCAGAGGATGAAATATCATATAGGTAATCAGTAGATATACATTCTTTTTGTATAAATGCGGGAGATAAGTTTTCAGAGAGGTGTGTTTCTCAAACTAATACGTGATAGTTTAGATATAAAACTCACACTTTCAATAGTTTAGATATCAAATTTAAAAAAATGAGATATTTTAGATGTGTTTTTGACACTTCACTCAAAATAAAAATATAAAACCTTTGTACTTCTTACTGCAACTTCATATTATCGATAATATGACTCTAGATAGGAGGGGAGTGGAGGTCTTGTAATATGATAGAAAGTTAGTAGGCATAGAATGTTGTCTTGTCTTGCTTTGTTTTTTCTTAATCTATTATCATATATTGTGTATTGTGTTTCGATTATTATACTATTTTGTTATTGGTATTATTTCTTTCGTAACTTGTAGGCTCTACAGTGTTTTTCTTATTAACTAAATGTTTTCTCCTTTATTTTCCTCTCCTTTACTTGGGTTTGATGTAATCTTTAGGAAACAACATAAGGTCTGCGTACACTCTATCGTCTCACATTCCATTTAATGAAATTTTACGGAATGTGTTATTGTTATTATACTTTTATAAAAAAAAATAATGCATTAATTAAATATGTAGGCATTATTTATTTAATAAATGAGTTAGGGAGTTGTTGTCAAATAAAAAATTTATAAATTTCCTGAGTACAAATGTAATGTGCTGGAGGTCTATATTATATATATACTCCTTACAAAGAAATTAAAATATTAATTATTACATAGACTTTTATAGTGAATTTGTACTACTAGACAGTGTGTTTAGCGGCCTTTTATTAATAATATAATTAAAAGAAATTCAACAAAAATATGTACATGCAAAGAGGACTAGACATTATCTTACCAATTCTAATGAGGTAAGAAACCTCTACTAGTTAACTTGCATGAAGAAAATAAGAACTAGACAAAATTAAATATTTTATGATCTTCACCAGTTTGTATTACACTCTATGATGATATTACAAATTAAGATGTTAAAAGTAGTGCAAAAGTATAAAATCCATAATGAAATTTGAGTAATCAAACTCAAACTTCATTTTACAAAAGTTTTGAGCATTAGGTTATCCATTATATATGTAAATTTGATCTCTCTAGATTGTTTATATTACAGGTTATCCAATTAACCTTTATTATGAGCATCATGCTGCTTTAGCCCCACTCTTGCAATTTCATTTGAACAATTTTGGAGACCCCTTTACTCAGCACCCTACAGATTTCCATTCAAAAGATTATGAAGTGGCTGTTTTAGTTTGGTTTGCACAACTCTGGGAAATTGAGAAAGATGAATATTGGGGATACATTACTAGTGGTGGCACTGAGGGCAATCTCCATGGTCTTTTGGTTGGGTAAGTTTCACTTTCAGAGGCGAATCTAGTTACAAGTTGATCATCTGAATTCAATATTTTCAAGCCACGTATTATACTTATATGTATAATATGAAAAATATGGGAAATACATAAAATTAAGTTGTATGAATTGAAAAACACAATATTTAGGCATAACACCATGAGTCTAACATACCTATATTCACTTTCACAATTTGTGTAGAAGAGAGCTACTTCCCGATGGAATAATATATGCATCAACAGACTCACATTACTCGATCTTCAAAGCAGCAAGAATGTATCGAATGGAACTAGAAACTATTAACAGTTTAGTTAATGGGGAAATTGATTATGAAGATTTGCGATCAAAGTTACTTGTCAACAAGAACAAACCAGCCATCATCAATATCAATTTTGGTAGATCATATATACATATATTTAGATCATATGTGGAATACTATTAATATTTTTAAAAATTTATGTTAATTTATGTATTTGTAGGAACTACCTACAAAGGAGCAATTGATGATGTTGATATGATCCTACAAATACTTGAAAATTGTGGTTATTCCAATGATAGGTTTTACATCCATTGTGATGCTGCACTATATGGGTTAATTGTCCCCTTCATCAACCATGTAAGGATATTAGTCCATTATTTTCTTTTAAGGGAACAAATATAAAATGACACGTGTCTCTTTGTATTCATCAATAGGCGAAAATAATTACCTTCAAGAAGTCAATAGGCAGTATTTCAGTTTCAGGCCACAAATTTTTGGGATGTTCCATGCCTTGTGGAGTTCAAATAACAAGGAAAACTTACATTACTACTATCTCAAGAAAAGTTGAGTATATTGCCTCAATAGATAATACAATTTCTGGAAGTCGAAATGGTTTGGCACCAATATTCTTATGGTACAGTTTAAGCATGAAAGGTCATGTCGGATTGCAACAAGATGCCAAAATGTGCTATGAAAATGCTCGGTATTTGAAGGACCGGCTTCATAAAGCAGGAATTAGTGCTATGCTCAATGAGTTTAGCAATATCGTGGTGTTTGAACGACCTTGTGACGATAAGTTCATTCGTCGTTGGCAACTATCTTGCACAAGAGATATGGCACATGTTGTGGTTATGCCAGGCACAACAAAAGAAATCATAGACAATTTTTTCAAGGATTTAATGCAAGAGAGGGGAAAATGGTGTGGAATAACTTTGGCTCCTTGTCTAGCAGATGATATAGGTTCTCAAAATTGTCTATGCTCCTATCACAACATGCATCACTAAAATTCCTTTGGAATGATCTTGATTATGGAGTATGTTGGAGTGACTCAAAATTGTTATTAGAGTTTGAAAATAAATTTTCATGTATCTTTTTATTTGATTTTTTAAAATTTATATTTTGAAATGAGAAGTGTCTCATTATCATCTTGTTTGCAACAAATTTTGAATATGTGGAAAGTAAATCAATCATAAATAAAATCTGAAGAAACAAGAATATTATTGATAGAACAACTTGATTTTTCTCTATGGATTTTTCCGTGGTTCGAGGGCTATTAGTAATGTATTTCATGAACATAGGAGACCACATCATCTTGATCTCTTTATGAATATCTCATGAATTTTATGAAAATTTTGGAGATTTTGATCTTTATGAATATCCAAGAGACAATATTTGATGCATGTCTTCATGATCTCTTTGTGAATATCCAAGAATTGATGGGATATTCACGATGCCTCTTCAAGGAATATATTACCCTTTATATAGGCAAGATAATATTTGATGTTTTCATGATCTCTTTGTGAATATCCAAGAATTTATGACATATTCGGGATGCCTCTTTAAGGAAATATATTACCTTTTAAGTGTGCTTTCTATAATAGCTTAAACTTTTAGATGAGATAGTCGCACACTTTAACATGATATTAGAGCAGACAAAAGTCTTGTAATCGAATCTCACATGTAGAAAGTTAAAGTTAAGTTTGAATTTACATAAAATCACATATACCTGCAACCCGCTCCGTCCCACATTAATTTTTTTTAAAATCCACTTCAACCCGCCCCACATCCCTCCCGCAAGTGGTGGAGCCAGAAGTTATTTATGCCAGAATGAAAATTTCTCCTATTCCATATTCATGAAGACAACAACCGTACGGAAAAACAAAGGTACGGATATTACAAACAGGAGAAGGAAATTCCAAGAGGAATATCACTTCTCCATACTTACAAACTTCCAACCAATCATGTCATTCTAATGATTATACAACTACTAACTAACCAATAATTCCTACCAACTAATGCCATCAGTATTAATTGCAAACAAAATTAATGGAAAGAGGTATACATTTTGGTACCTGAAGCCATCTGCCCCAACGAGGTTTTCTGTTCACGGCGGCTGCTCTCATCAATTCTTATTTTCTCCCAAATTGTTACACCCCCATTAACTTATTTTCTTATATGGGTCGAGTGGTATAGGGTGTTAACTAAATTATGAACTTGACCCATAAGTAACAACTAAAATTAATTATTTAAATATAGCTAGACATTAGGAGTTTAAGACCTCTCTTCGGCCAACATTTATTTTTTCTTCATCTGATTTTTTTTTTAAAAATAAAATAGTATCCACTCAATTAATCACTATATTTAAGACTCATAACTGAAGATTAAAATTTGCAGTATTTTTCATCCTAATTAAGTCACTGCAGCCATTTATTTTATCTAATACCCCATCTAAAAATAGTTGTCCATCATTCATTTGACACATATCTTAAGAAATATTTAATAAATAATAGGGATAATATGACTAAATTATCCTTTGAATATATTAAATTTAATGCTTTAAAAAATGTATTAGATATTGAATACAATATTTACTACAAAGAGTAAAATAGACACAAAGAATAAATTATCTCTTGGTTTTTTAATTTGGACAAGCTAAGAATAGATAAACAACTACTCCCTCTGTCCCTATTTACTTGTCAATATTTCCTCTTTTAACTGTCCCTATTTACTTGTCAATTTTGATAAATCAACAAAGGACAAAAAAAAATTCCTATTATATCCTCATTTAAACTTCTTGAAAATTTCTAGTAAGTCATCCTTTTTGGAACCAGACAATACATTTGTTATACTTGGGGAGTTACATAATCCTTTAAGTTACCCATAAAGCATTTCATTAGTTTATGAGTAAAAATTTTGAACAATTTTTTTACTCAAAAAAATGGATAGAAATAAACTTGAAGTTTCAACTAATAATCCTATCAAAGTAAGTAGAAGGCTCACTTATATTAATTGAAGATCCAAAAATTATTGAAGTCAAAAATTTAAAAAGGAAAGATGAAGATCGAATAGAAGCATTAGAAGCATAGTGAAGATACAGAAAATTGTAAAAGTGTATGTTGTTTCCTTCCAATTTATTTCACTTGAATTCAAAGAAGTGGCTGTAATTTTGAAGTGAAAGTTGTCATAAATACAGTAAATAAACTTATGAACTTCCCAGAGCATTGATTAGTTATCTTGAGTGAATTTATTTTGGAATTGTAAATTTTACTATAAGGGTAAAATTGTAACTTCACTATGCTAATCATTGTTGCATTAATATGTGTGTAATTTCTAAAGTGGACAACTAAATAGGGACAGAGGGAGTACTATTTTTAGTATAGTGGACAATTAAAGATGAACTGAGAGTAGGGGTGTGCAAAAACCGAACCGACCAATAAATCGAACCAAAAAAATGTTATTGGGCTATTGAGTTTTTAATGAGTTTATAAAAAATAAGTCATTGGGTTATTGGGTAAACCGATAGCTCAATAAGACAGTAATAATTTACTATTTAACCCTTCCTAAATATTAAATATTAATAATTTAATATATAACTAGACACTCTGACTATATCATATTCTCGGTACTCTACCCACTTCACACTAGTCCACTTTATTCTTTAATGTTTACTCAAAACCTAAAGACTAAAGTAATGGTTCACAATTGTAGCTATTTGATTTTAGTTTTAGTTTTAGTCTTGTTGGACTATTTGATTTTAGTTTTAGTTTGTAATTGTAGGTTGTAGTTTTTGTAAGTTTGTAAAGGTCTTTAATTTGATTAACATAAAAAATTTCATACTATGTTTTGGAGGTGCATATAATTATAGCATTCGCACTATATTTTTTCTTATTGATGCAATTTCTCATTATCTTTCTTGTTTCACTATATCAGAGCAATTAGAGAAGTGAGAATTCATATAATATTTTATGGACATTTTTTTATTGGGTAAACCAAAAAATCAAACCGATAAACCAAAAATCGATAAAAAATATCTTATTGATTTGTTATTGAGTTAGCATATTTAAAAATCGAAAACCGATAAACCGAGCCGATAATAAAATTGAACTAAACCGACCGATACACACCCTAACTGAGAGAGAAATAAAAGTATGTATAATCGTTTATCTTCGTAATCAATAAAATAAATGCTATGTTATATAGGTTAAAAAGAAAGATTGGAGAAGTCTTCTACTTCCTTTGTCCCAATTTATGTGACACATTTCAAATTTTGAGATTCAAATAAGTCTATTTTTTTTACCATAAATCATTCACGTATCTTTTAATTATTTTGAATTGTCAATTATTATGCATTGTAGTACTTTTTATGTAGTTTACAAATATATAAATTTAATTTCAAAAAAATTGAAGATTTCATGCACAAATTTTCAGTCAAAAAGTAAAATATTTGACTCTTGAAAACAACAAATGTCACATAAATTGGGATAGAGGAAATTGTTTGTTTGTCATGTTGGTTTAATATTTTATCATGGATCTTTCCCGTTGATTTTTTTCAATTGTAAAATTCTACATTTTTAGTAATATATTTTTTTAAAAGTGGGAGGATTCGAATTTTTCTTCTCTTTAAACATCACAATTCTTTTCCAAAGCATTCAAATTAGACTAGAAATAATTTGGAATGAAAAATAGTAGCCAAAAAAAAATAAAAATCAAAAGCAAGTACGATTAATTTTACTAAAGGCACGTAAGAAAAGTTTTAAATATATTTAAGAAAGATACTATATACAACTAAAATTGTTGGATTAAAAAAGTATTTTATGAAGAAATCAATAAACGCAATTAATTATCTTAATTATGGTTAAAACTTAATTTTAATTTAATAAATTTCAATCATTATTTCAACCAAAATAAGAAATTGAAGAAAAAGGAGACAAACAAAATCCCCATTATCAAAATAAAACTCGTCCTATTATTGAATGATAACATCAAATTACTAAAACAATTAGTAGATGGAGAGTATAACCGGAATATTGAATAAACAACCCGGGCAATTATAATGAAATAATAAATCTTTTTAGGATGAGTGACAACACAATTATTTTCATATATACAATTAAGTTAAGAAAATTCTTACTATTAAAGTATATGATAATGAGTACATATGTTTTAGACTTGTTGACACTTTCTTTATGACCTTCATAAATAAGAAATTTATTTATTTTAAAATTTTCTTAAGTTGATAAATTTGAAAAAAAAAATGTTGGGATAGAAAATCTAACAATTTTTTTTACCTCATTTAGTATTGGAATTGTCGTAATAATTGAGAAATGAAATAGTTTTTAATTAATATAGCATCGTTTCTTATGTGACTATCTATTTTGTTGCCTCTTTTATATTCTAACGATTATCATGAACCAACATTATTACCTCTTCTTATATTTACTTTTCTTACTCTCCTTTCACAGTTTTTTTTCTCATTATTGAATATTTTGAAGTCTCTCAAACTGTCAAATCTTCTACATTATGCAAAATATATTATGTGTTTATAAAAAATAAAAATTATTTTTTGGTATCTTCTTCAAATTTCAAACACTAAAACTTATCAACACTGTTTTATTATCATTATATAAACTTTTCAATTTTTTGAATCAGATTTTATTATTCTAATATTTTATATATTTTTCATTGAAAATTGTATCGTTTACATTCTTACTTCATAATATCCGCATATATTATACCTCTGCAGACCTCATTTGTAGGATCACACTATGTTATAATTATTCAATTTATATATATATTAACCAAAAAAATAAGGTCTATAAAGTTGACTATAAACCCCAAACTTGTTGACATGGGCCTGAAAGAGTGTTGGAGCTAACAAAACAAATAGTTATAAAAGTAATTTATTCAATTACAGAATTAAAAACTATATGTGCATACATCAAAATTTTACATCCTTTATCATACCAAAATTTATAAAATGTAAAAATAAAATTTAGTAACTAATGTTTTTTTCAAACAGTCAAAAACACGAACAAAATTACTAATGTGTAAGAAAACATGTGTAATATAAAACAAAGATAAAGAGTCTAAAGTTATGTTCATTAATATTCGTGCATTGTATGAGTACGTATATTAATTTTAGCTTTAAAATAAAAATAAATATTTTTTTAATTCCAAACACTACCAATTATTTTAAAACTATTTTAACTTAAATGGATGCACCAACT